CTTATCAGCTTCAGATAAAGAATTCCCATCTTCAATAATTTCATCACCTTCAACTTCATCTTCCAAAAAATCTGAAAGACTGGACCTGGTCGAACCTCTCGAGTTCCGGACCGAGACAGATTCAGCATCAAGAACATTTCTGTTTGAAGACAAAATAGAATAAAACTCCTTTTCCAACCTCTTCATTGCAACTTGCATCAATCTTTGCGCTCCGATGAGTTTTTCAGAGCTCGAATTTATCTTTACATAGTAGTGCATGGCGTTTCTCAAGCCAGTCACCCCTTCGATAAATCTCTCGGCTTCCCTTCTATCATCACCAAAGAGAGTGGACATTTTTCTGTATGTTGGACCATCCAAATCCCATTTGGTGACTATCATTTCAGCGTAATCAATGTTTTCCTCCATTATTGTTTCCGAGAAATTGTGTCGAGGTGTCGAAGGAGGAGAAATAGAGTGGTGAGAATGTAAGGGAGAAGGTCTTGAACTCCTCATCTTCTTTTGTGTGTGTGTCTGTGTTTATGTATGAATATTGTGTTGTTGAGTTGATGATAGTGTTTAAGAAGAACAGGTAATGAGTGAAAATGGAGAGTTCTGCTTTTCTGGATTTGCTTATCGAGATGGAGAATAGGAGGGGTATATATAGAGGATGGTGAGGTTTGACTTCGCAAAAGAATGGTTGAACAAGAAGAACGCGGTGCGGGCGTTATGTTTTGAATTTGGTTGCTTCTTCATTTGTAAGAAAGTACTTTGTTTTGTACGTGGGGTGGGTAGGCTTGGGGTGGGGTGGCGAAGGGAGGTAAGAAGGTAGGATGTCAAAGAAGTGGGCTTGTGGGGGCACGGTGGGGTCNCTTATCAGCTTCAGATAAAGAATTCTCATCTTCAATAATTTCATCACCTTCAACTTCATCTTCCAAAAAATCTGAAAGACTGGACCTGGTCGAACCTCTCGAGTTCCGGACCGAGACAGATTCAGCATCAAGAACATTTCTGTTCGAAGACAAAATAGAATAAAACTCCTTTTCCAACCTCTTCATTGCAACTTGCATCAATCTTTGCGCTCTGATGAGTTTTTCAGAGCTCGAATTTATCTTTACATAGTAGTGCATGGTGTTTCTCAAGCCAGTCACCCCTTCGATAAATCTTTCGGCCTCCTTTCTATCATCCCCAAAGAGAGTGGACATTTTTCTGTATGTTGGACCATCCAAATCCCATTTGGTGACTATCATTTCAGCGTAATCAATGTTTTCCTCCATTATTGTTTCCGAGAAATTGTGACGAGGTGTCGAAGGACGAGAAAGACGGTGCTGAGAATGTAAGGGAGAAGAAGGTCTTGAACTCCTCATCTTCTTTTGTGTGTGTCCGTGTAGACTGTGTTTATGTATGAATATTGTGTTGTTGAGTTGATGATAGTGTATAAGAAGAACAAGTAATGAGTGAAAATGGAGACTTCTGCTTTCCTGGATTTGCTTATCGAGATGGGGAATAGAAGGAAGGGTATATATAGAGGATGGTGAGGTTTGACTTCGCAAAAGAATGGTTGAACAAGAAGAACGCGGTGCGGGCGTTATGTTTTGAATTTGGTTGCTTTTTCATTTGTAAGAAAGTACTTTGTTTTGTACGTGGGGTGGGTAGGTCTGGGGTGGAGTGGGTAGGCTGGGGTGGGGAAGCGAGGTAAGAAGGTAGGATATCAAAGAGGAGGGCTTGTGGGGGCACGGTGGGGTCGTTTTCATAAAGAGGATTTTACCATGCAAGGTTGGCTTGGACGGTTGTTTACTCGTTTTCACAGTATTGCTAGCTAATTGGGTGGCCGTTGCCCGTTGCTAATAAATAGGAGCCCAGCTTGTCTCTAACTGGGATCTACGGTACATGTTTTTGACTCATCGTCAAGGATTTAGAAAGAAATAGAATGATTCTGAGTGTACAGGCTTTCTTCACATAATTTTTACAGTGCAGTTAGCGATGGCAAAAAAGCTCGTCGGCTCGGGAAAAATTCGAGCCGGGCCTGGCTCGGGCTCGGTCGCACCGAGCCAAGGCTTGGGCCGAGCCCCATTTGGGGCACCGAGTAGAGCCCGGGCCGGCCGTGTCCACCAAAAAAAAAAAAATTAAAAAATTAAAAAAAAACTTACACTGCCTGCACAGCA